CGTTGTAAATAGAAAATAGCATGGATAATTTACAAAGGCTTTAAAAACACAGCAGGAGCCAAGACAATTATAAAACGTGTCATTATTTCAGTACAGCTCAATTGGTTTTATTTTCATAAACGGTTATCAACCGTTAGTGCCAAAGCAGTAGGCTACAATATATTAATTACTGCTGTAGACTACAACCACTACTTGTTTAGCTAGCATAAACTCAACAAAGCTAGCGTTAGCAGGCTAACTGACGTTATTTTGCCGCTAAACTGCACGATATAAAACGGTGGTCTTCAAAGCTGATTTAATCCTCAATCACAATAATAATATTCAAAGTAATACTGGGCAAGTAACGGGCAAAACTTACCGCTGATTGACGCGCCATGTCAGCGGACTGGTAGCGACACGAACCGTTAGCCCCGCAATCTCCAGTCACCCGCTGAGCCTCGTCGTTCTGATAGCTCCGCCCCTTCGCTCCTCCCCCCACATCTACAGCTGAAAATTACTTTTGCGACACATTTATCGCAAGAAGTGTAGCAAAAGTCAAGACCGCAGATTCGTCGATTTCAACATTTCATCACTAAGTTCATTTTTTTTTCTTCTGTGACTTCAAATTTGGTTCACAGTTACGTGGATATTTTATACAAGTGTAAATGTATGCACACAAGCTCAGATTTCTTTTCTACAAGTGCTCACATCAGGTTTTACACGCTCTCGCATTTTGCACCATATCTACCTGTGTGCGTGGCAAGGTTAGGCTTTGCATGACATTCTTCTGGACGTGTTTCATTGTGGTGATAGTGAGGGTATTCAATCCCTTGTTTAGCAAGACAGTAGTGACGGCCATCTTGGTGACGTGTGTTGTTCTGCGAGACCAGAGATGTAGTTCATTGAGTGTTTCACACAAACAAATGTGTTACTTCCATGGTTACTTCACAGTTTTACGACACATTTTTATTTGTTTGACTTGCAAAATTATCTTTTAAATTGACAAACATCATATGTTCAATTCGTGGCACAAGTCAAACGGGATCGAAAGATAATCTTTCTCTCTCCATTGACTTCAATACATAATTCTTCCGAAATAAGGTCCCATGGAGCTCCACCGGAAGGGGAGGGACTTCGCCTCTGGCCGGCCGTGGCCCTTTCCCCTGATAGGGGAATCTGTATCAGATCCGTTTTTAGAGATTTGGGTATGGAGGAAAATAGAGAGGGTTGTGTTTTCTGACACTTGGTGAGTTCCCTGGAACACCGGGGAAACATGTTCATGTAGAAAAGACGTACAAAAGAGTGCATTTTGCATGATAGGTCCCCTTTAAATGAGTTCCGATGAAAAGTTATTATTGGTGTCATAACTTAAGAAAAAAATCAAATCCCTTTAATTCAAGTTAAACTGAAACCTTCAAAATAAAATCCTTTAAATTAAAATCACACACAGACGCATTGATGATGTCACACAGACGCATTGATGATGTCACACAGACGCATTGATGATGTCACACAGACGCATTGATGATGTCATGATTTATTTATACTGTAGAGAATCACAGCAGGAAGAGTACTGATGACATCACAGCTCTGTATGTCATAAAGCTTCAATAAAAAGCACCAATCACTGCTGACTGCAGAGTCATGTGACCGGACAGACTGCAGGAAACAGGAAGGGTTTCATGAAGAGATCAAATCAGAAAAACACATTTGTTAAAATCAGATCCATTAAAATAAAACCTAATGTATATATAATTATAGCCACGCCCACTGTATATATAATCATAGCCACGCCCACTTTATATATAATTGTAGCCACGCCCACTGTTTATATAATTATAACCACGCACACTTTATATAAAACCCCTTTAATCACAGGCCCCGCCCCCTAATGCATTCTGGGACGTGTTTACGTTCATTAGGATGAAGCGTTGTTTACCAATCAACAGAAGAATAACGAGTCCTAAACATCTGATCACATGACGCTGGATCCTGATTGGAAGAGAGCGCGGTCACATGAGGCTGATCAGCGAGGACGTGAAGAAGAAGCACCGCATCACATCTGAGGAAACAGAGACTCCATCTTTATAACGTTCAGAAAGGTGAAGATGTTTCAGAGAGAGAGAGGGACTCACCTGCAGCAACAGAGAGAGAGAGAGAGAGAGAGAGACTCACCTGCAGCCACTGCTGAGCGTCTGATCCCAGCTTCATACAGGAGAACAGCTCACACACCGCCTGAGAGAGAGAGAGAGAGAGAGAGAGAGATAATACAAATATACTCTAAAAATACATTTATAGAAAATATTTTCAGAATAAAAGTACATGATCCAGTGTCTCACCTGAGCCTGGCTCCTCTTCCTCAGCAGCCACTTGTCCTCCTCTTCTTCCTGGGGGGCGGGGGAGCGGCTCTGAACCCACTGCTGAGGGTCCAGGG